ACACGCCTCCACTTTGTGGAGGCGTGTCAAAACCAAATGCTCAAAACGGCAGGTGTAGAGTAAAATGTCCACATCGTCGGACATGTTTTTGACCCGCATAATGTGTGTACGTGTGAACGCACCATTACTGCAAAATATGTTTGCTCCCCTGACATTGAGCTATTTTCATGTCATGACAGACAGCAACCGTCTTCAGTCAGAGGCCTCTTCAGATTTGTTGCTAAACTGACTGCTACCAGAAATCCTTTATTTTTCCTTTTAGTGGAAATAAAGTGTAATTGATTTGTTTATTTGTTTCAATCAGAAACCAGATAAGTATAAAATATTATAAAAGTAGAATGACATGGAATAAGAACAAGATCCAAAAAAAGGTGCTGCACTACAAATTTAAGTGTAAACTTTTGCAATTTGTGTAAGACATCGAGCGCTGCAGAATGTATTTTTTCCCTTTTGTCACAGCATCTACATCTGCTGGCTTTGTTCAAATTTAATTAATAAATTTAATATAATTTTAGTTTCAGCTCTTTGGGTTCTGATTCCGATCTTGGTGTTACCCCATGTAACCACTTGGGGTCAGTAGCGTGTCAAAAAAGTGGCCATGAAAAGAGCACACTGTCCCCAAACACACACTGAAGAGTTCTTGTCTGTATTTGCTGCCTGATGAAGAAGTGAGAAGTTTGTCTGAGATTTTTTTTTCTTTTTACTGTGTTGTGATTTCAGGGAAGAGCATTCCCACATCAGAGACCTCAGAGCGAGCACAAAGTGCCAAGAGAGACAGTCTGTCCTCAGGGGAGAAAGATTCCTCAGACAGCAAAGCCACTCAGGTATGAACACGTCTGCACGTCTCTGCGAACCTCTCAGAGGAGCAGCAGCCCATGCAGGGTGTTCAGGTTTTCACACGCTGCTCCGGATCTCTGTTCTACCTGCTTTCTAGGAACAACATGGCTAATAATGCAAAAGTTCTTTAAGAATAAATCACTGAAAGAGTGAGAGATTTTACCCTTTGTTGTTGTGTGACTTGAAAACAGGATTCGTTTCATAAAAAGCCCAAAAAACACAAACAACATTTTTGTTTCTGTTTCACTCGTGTTCCAGTTTAAAGTCCTGAACAGTGATTTCCTACGGCACCCACTGAACGGCTACTGAATATTTAAAGACCTCTAGTGTGGACATGCTGCCCTTGAAGCATGTGCCTCCCCTTAAAGTCCATGTGTAACATTCTCACTCAGTCATTAAAGGCCCCCTGTGGGGTTTTGACCTCCAGCAGCAGCTGCTAAATGCTAATTAGAATTAGCTACAATGCTAATCCTAGTTAGTATTTTAGCTAACCTTGATATAAAAGCTAAATTTAATAGTCTGAAAGGAGTGAGTTAAAAAAACAAACAAACAGCATTTTCAGTTTGTTTGCATTGTGATAGCTCAGCATGCTATTGAACATTTCAGCTCATTAGGAGTTTAACTAATTTTAGCTTTTAAATGGGTTTTTGTCATAGTGAGTGCAGTACAGGTCAACCTGCTACTGGTAGTCTACATGCTGTCATTAGCGTTTTAACTAGCTGTAGCATTTTAGCTTACACAACGCCGCTTGCACCCAATATATGACTACAAATCCTACAAATGTTTCCTTTTATTATATTATTGCACAATTTGATGTTTAGAAAATAAGTTGCTTAATGGAAACAGCAATTTTGAAAAACATTTTTTTAATTTATTTATAAAATGGTTTGATACGAGGATGAAGTGATTTTATTATTATCAAATTGACTTATTTTGCAAAATGGAAAAAGCTCTGTGTATCACACAAGTCACGTGATCAACAGCCGGAAGAAGACGACAGGAAGTAGCTGGAGTAGTTAGGTTTGCTAATGAACAAGCTTATTCACACGTGTTTTTAATGTCCTTTCTTATTTAATGGAAACGCGGTAATTGCAAAGTAGTTTTTTGACATTAGAGCTTTGCACACAGTGATAATGGAAACGCAGCTAGTCACTGGTTGGGGCTGAACAAGGTGAAAACTGCCTTCTTGGTGCTTCTTTGCTCATCAGATGTAATCATGCTTTGATTTTTTTTTTTTTTTTTTGTTTCTTGCTTCCAGGATCTACAGGAGGAGACCCCGCCCAGCAAGAAAAGCAAACTGGAGTCCTCATCTCAGGACTTTGAGGAGAGCTAAATGTTTCGGGCTGAGTCATTCTCTCCTTCACCTTCCTGTCTCCCTTCCTCTGTACCTCCTCCCATTAACTCTAGATGATTTAGGGCTAATGGACACACCGGCTCTCCTCTTAGATTGTTTTCTTTTTTTCCCTCCCCGCTCTTCAAAACCAAGGGAGAACGGACGTCTCTCTTCCTCATCGCTGTTTCCCACTTCCCGTTTCGCCACCTTCACCCAAATACTCCCCCCTGCCACTGAGGGAGGATGGATATTACCTCTTGTTCAGTGGTTCCCCCTCCGTGCTTCCTTCCAGTCCTCCACATTTTGTTTTGCCAAGAGAAGCGCCAGACTCAAGCTTCTGGACAGCGCCGGCAGCTCAGCCCCAGCCACCGCCAGACCAGAACACAAAACCCCGACCCGCTTCTGTGACTTAAAGAGCTCTGAGATTAGGACGAGGCCGATCGCAGACGCTGCTCTGAGATCACTCTTTTGTTTCACTGCTAACGGTTTAGCTCAGGATAAGTCAAGGGGCTAACCTGGTATCAGATCAGTGGCTGTGGCAGCCCCCCCTCAAACCTCCCAACCTGTAAGGCCACGTCTCGCTTTCAATCCTCCCGATTCGCCTCCTGTTAGACTAATGTTCTCTTTTGTTTAGGGAATGTTTAGTTATATCTTCTTTTTTTTTTTTTTTTCTCCCTCAGGAGGGTCAATGCACTGTTATGGTATGTCACAATCGATCACAGATAGATTTGCTGCTGTAGTGGATGTCTTTTATCTCTATCCATGAAAAGTTCTCCATGTTTGTGTTTTTATTTTTCTCCTAAAGTGAATTAGCTTGCGGTTTTGTAGAGGAAGAGGGCAACGGTACACGCCGAGACAGACTATTGGATAAGTAGTGAGGAAAGACATGGTTGGAGCGCGTCCCGGAGGTGTGTGCCTTGAGTTGTTACGACTAATACAAGTTTTAGTTCAAGCAGGTTTGGACTTAAGTTTTGGTGCCATGCTTTGTTTCGTTTTTTTTTTTTTTTTGCCTTATAACTGTCACTAATTAGTCTTTCCAATTATTTATATTTAACTCCACCTGTCAGGATATTTTCTCTGAGGAAAAGATTTGGTAGATATTTGCTTCCTTGCTGCGAGTAAAAAAAAGACACAATGTGATTTAGAGCGACACCAAGTCGGCTGTACGTACGTAAATCCAGGCAGTTATTTGAGCAGCAAGGTATCGTTACGTTTTCAGCATCCGCCCGCTCGCTTTCCTCCCAGCAAGGAAGTACTACTCCTATAAAACGCGTCAAATTAGGTTTTAACACTACCCAGAAGTTGATCATGGTCATTCCTTCGAGCACCTGCAAACCTCATCCATCAGAACTTCCCGTTTCTTTCCACATCACCGTCGACTCGCATCTAATGGTCTTATTTCCCTGTACTGGTTCCGTGTCACCACTCGTCTGTGACCCACACATGCTGGTGCCGCTCGCCACTAAAGGTCCAGTCTCTGTCTTTTTTTCTGTTTGTTGTTTTATTTTTTGCTCAAACATTTGGTTTTAATCCTCCTTCAAGGTGCTGTCTGTCGGCTGAATCCATACGCACGTGGCATAGTGCCCCCTGACTGTGTGCTGATTAGTGCAATTTACTTGAACCTTAAAGTACGGATTCAGACCTACGACCTCTAATATAAAAAAAGAAAAAGAAAAAAAAAAACCTCACTCATGTTCAGATTTACTTTCATTAATCAATCCTGAATGAATTTAGATCAACTGAATCACTGCAAACCGTGACGGGACGGGGCTACGATGCATTTTACAACCCAGAATCAGATTTTCAGCAAATCAGCATTCACGCGGATGGAGAGGAAGGAGTTCAAACATTGTCTCGGTTCAGAGGGCGGATTAGCATATACCTCATTCCCAATCCAGCAGAGCTGGAACTTTAAAAATGCTATTGTATTGACATTAACAGTTATAAACAGCATTACACGTACACTCAGTTTAAGAAAAACAAATTCTCACTTATGTTGTAGCGTTCACTTGATTGAGCCGATTGATTTAGAGTTTGCTCATAACTGTCTGTAAAAAGAAAAATGAGAAAAAAAAGAGCTGTGAGATGGAAAAAAAAACTTTTTTTTTTCCCCTTGGGACCATTTTTTCTTTAGATCGTGTACAGATTTATGGTTTGGTTTGACTTATTTATTCCATGGGTAGTGCTTGGTTTTGTTTTTATCATGTCAAATTGTATTGTTTTCTTAATAAAAGTCATACAAATGCTCTGTCTGTGTCCGTCTGTTGGAAACTTCTGGAAATGGACAACGCTTCAGAACAAATTTGGGATTTCACTTTTTAGCTAAATGTCAATTTTTTATCTCCATGCTTTTGAATGTTACAAGTTGATGTCCTTGGATTTCATTATTTGAGTGATTTTTTGTATTATTTTATATATATATATATATATATATATATATATATATATAATATATATATATATATATATATATATATATATATATATATATATATATATATTATATTTATTCTTAACTTTTTACCACATATACCTAATTTTTGTCCTACATCTTTTAAATTCCATCTTCGACCTACACTGACAGATCCGGTTAATAAAGCATTGTTTGATATTGTGTCTGTAATCGTGAACCTTAATAAACACCAGTGGAGTTTTGCGCATGCGCCAACCGGATGCAAATTCTCGCATGACCTTAACATAAACCCAACCTTTATCCTACACATTTGAAATCCCACTTTCAATAAAACTAATAATAGCTCGTCATCGTGTCAGTGAACCCCAACACCACGAGGCGTTTGCGCAGGCGCGAACCGGAAGCAAATCCTCGCATGAACCAGGAAGGGTTTCGGCTGCCGGAGCCTGGGAGCGGTGTGGGGTCTGAGAGTGGAGCGAAAGGCTGCAGCTACACATTATTGGCTAGACTCCTCTCACAAGAGGCGTAACAAGGCGTGCTCGAAGTATGCCAACTAAACCTTATTCAGTGAAATGACATTGTAAAAGTGGGACTGACCCTAATAATGCGAGCGGATGTTCTACTGAACCAGCAGTTTTAAGAGTTTACTGTGCGAGGTAGGGACCGGCCCCGTTTTCCGCGTCTTAATTCACTTTTTTTCAGCTGCAGTGAGTCGTTGTTCTGCATTAGCTTAGCTAGCCTGCTAAACTCAACCGAGGTGCTAACGGTGACAGCTGGTGAGTCCACGTAACCTGATGAATGAAAGCGCTCAAAGCGACGTGTAGCGTTTCGTTTTAGCTCCATTTATGCAGTGACCGGAGTGGCAACATTACTTCTGACTTTAGTTGTGCAATTTGATGTTGAACCTGTCGGCACATTGCTCTGCTGAGCGGCGCTTTCCACCCATAAAACAGCCGCATGTGTTAGCCTGCTAAGGCTACTTCAGCTGTGTAGCAAATTCAATTAAACTGAGAGCTGAACCAATACAATAAAATAAAAACAATCTCCACATAAAGCAGCAGAGTGTCAAGAAGGAAAAATGTTGAGATATTTGGTTAAAATGGGGAGATCGAGACTTCATTCAGACTGGTCCAGTGTCTGAGGAGGAAATCGGATATTTCTTCTCACCTGTTTTTTTACGAGCTGTGACATTTAAATATCGGACACGTGACCTTAGACTCGTAACATGATCTTGTCTGCGTGTAAAAGTGGTGTTTTAGCAACATGTTCAAGAGTCGTTTGTTCATTTCAACCTGATGTTGTCTTAAATGAACTTTGGTATGATGCTAAGGTTATGTAGGAAGGCTCTCTAAACCATGTGGCAGATTCTCAATTTATATCTAAATATGTAAGGAGTAACCTCATAAAATCACTACCATTTACATTTAAAATGTCTTACTATGATGCGTTCGCTGACCAGTAAGGTTGCATCTTTTTAGCTAATTTCAGGCTTCATTTCAGTCAGTGAAACAGTGATGCTATTTCAACGGCCTTATTGTCGTTTTCTCATAAATGGAGGCTTTACGCTCAACCAAAATGACAAAGTTGTGACGTCAGGGAAAGGAAAAGGACATGGTGAAGGGGAAGGGTGGACATAAACACAACGTGAAACATCAGCTGCCATGCCAACGCTACTTTGTTTTCTTGTTTCTCACACTTCCTTATTTCTCTTCACCTTGCCCAGATCATTTGTGATGGCTACTACTGAAATGGAATCTGGGTCTACAGAAAGCAGGTCCGAGCAAGGATCGTCGGACCCCGATTCGAAATACCCACTTAAAGTTCTTTACTGTGGAGGTACGATCGATAAACTCAATCTGTCGCGTAATCGCGACGTATTTCGATGGCCTCTAACTCGAGTTTTTTTTTTTTCTTTCTGCAGTGTGCTCCCTACCTACAGAGGTGAGTTTCAGCATTAGACAGACATTGCACTCGCATTATGCGGACCGTAGACAAGCGGCTGCAGTTTATTTCTTTCGAGAGTTGTAAAAACTGGTCATGTCTCCGCAGTACTGCGAGTACATGCCCGAGCCAGCCAAATGTAGGCAGTGGCTTGAGAAGAACTTTCCAGATGTGTTTGCCAAGATGACTGTAGGTGAGTACCTTCAAGGTTTTCTGTGGATTTTTTTCTTCACTCCCCTAAAATGTAAAGAGCTTAACGGCGGTTAGATAGATTAGAAGTCTGTGTAAAGACCAGTTTTGAGTAGCTTTAAAAGCTAAATTACTGGCTTGGTCTGTGTAGGTTCTCTTGCCCTTATGGGCTGCATTACAGTAAAGGATGGCAGTGAAAGGAATGAAGTTCTGTTATTGGATACTTTTTAGGCTACCGAGCCAATTTGTACAGAGCAAGATGGTGTATTTAGATACACCTAGATGTAAATCTAATTCCAAGTTGAAGAATGCATGCAGATGTGCCTGGTGGGTGAGTCTGACAGTCAGAACTCTCCACAACAGAGCAAAACTGGACACTGGCTGATTTGTGAGACCTATGTGGAGGGAGATTTGATTTGTTTTGTACTTGCTTCTCACTCCAAATGAAAGGTGACCTATTATGTTTCTCTGGATAAGTTAGGATAGGTCTGTTGGCTATGCAAAACAAGTTAATGACACTTTTTTGCACAAGAGATGAGATTTTAGTTTGCTCAGTTCTGCCTATGTTGAGTGCTTTTTTAGGGCCCCTTGTCATTTTAAATCCAATTAAGCTCCTGCTGCCTCCCACCCCCTTAATTCAATGTTTACACTCGTATATGAAAATGGATGCAAACAGACGCGTAACTATGCATTTTTGAAAAGCATTAGTGAAGCCTCTTGCGTGCAGCAAGTGATTTCGGCAGGGAAAGTCAACAACAAAGCATTCATCTTTTCCAGCAGCCATTGTACAGTGCATAAAGTGGTAAAACCAGCTGACCAAACATGCTGGAGCCCCGCTTGGCTTGCTAGGTAACGATGCATGTAAATTTTTGACCTATCGTTCAGGTTTTTGAAACGGCTAATTTTCCAGACACCAAAAACTTGACAGCTTCTTGCCAAAAAACAGTTAAAGATTATTTTGTTGTTCTTTTGAGACTCAAATGGGTCTTTATATTTTGTGTAAAGGTCCCCTTTAAGGCTATTGGTGCACCCCTGACAATAAAAAAACAAATGTTCATTATCATTCCTCAGCAATTGGAGTAGCAAAGTAAAAAAAAAAAGAAAAAAACTTAATCAGGATTCTCAAAGTAAGCCAATATTTACTCTAGTAGAAGAATATCATTTTTGCAAAGCTGGTTTTAATTCTTCTTTTTGCTTCTTTGGTCCCTCTGGTCCGGCAGGAAATGCTCCCAAACAGGAATCCGGCACTGGAGAAGCTCCCCCTACAGGCGAAGAGGAGGAGAAGAAGAAGCAAAAACGAGGTAGAACTTCACATATTAGTCTATATCAGGGGTCCCCAGAGTGGGTCCTCGAGGGCCGGCATCTGCATGTTTTAGTTCTCTCCTTGGTGGTAGTGGCAACCTTTTCAGAATGTCACTGTTCTTCCTAGGCCTCTAAAGAGCCATCATTTGATCCAGGTGTGTTAAATCGGGGAGAGAACTAAAACATGCAGGATGCCGGCCTCGAGGGCCCATCTTGGAGACCCCTGGTCAAAATATTCATATTTAATGTCTGTGTGCTGTGAACGCTTGCAACCAAAGTCAAATCCATTGCTTGCGTGCACAATCTTTCCCAATCAAACTGATTCTGTTTTTGGATATGATGCACCCGTGGGTTCATCTTTCCTGAAGTTTCTCATCTCTCAGCACCATTGCTGTCGGCATGGAGATCAATGACGCCTGCAACTCAAATCTTGCTTTATTCTCCTCTTATTTTCAGGCGGAAGAGGCCAAATTAAACAGAAAAAGAAGACGGTGCCTCAGAAAGTCACAATAGCCAAAATTCCAAGAGCAAAGAAGAAATACGTGACACGAGTGTGTGGCCTGGCAACATTTGGTGAGACCTGTGCCTCCCCTCCTCCATCTATGCACGGTGATGTTCGTTTTTTTGCACGTTTGTCTAAATGTTGATCCCTTTGCTGCAGACATTGATCTTAAAGAGGCTCAGCGATTCTTTGCTCAGAAGTTCTCTTGTGGTGCCTCAGTTACAGCCGAGGATGAAATAATCATTCAGGGAGATTTTACAGATGACATAATTGACGTCATTCAAGAAAAGTGGCCTGAGGTAAGAAAACCATCTTCATGGAAAAAGTTTCATGAGCTTTTATACTTAAGTGTGGTAAAATGTCATCTAATCTATAAATTCAAACACATCTGGTTATAAATATTTGATTTAAACCTTACAGCACTGCGATTTCAAACAACAAAATTCATAAAGGGCTGGTTTGGTGTGTTAGATTTGTTTCAACTTAGCATTTTAAATTATAAATGTGCGTGGATATAAATGAAAGAAACCAGACATGCTTACTTAAATAATAAATTGACAATAATTAAAATTGTATTTTAGAACATTAGATTTAAAACGATTTCAAAAAGGTAGGATTTAAAGCAAATATAAACTTTTATCAAACAGTAAAATGCTGTTTTGTAACACAAAATCTTTGTAAAACATGCTGTTTTACAAAAAATGTAAAGCATTTTAATGTAAAGTGCTTTACATTAAAAACTTAATGGTTAAGTGTAAAGCACTTCTTTAGTCAAAATTATCTTGACAATTGAGACGAAAGATTTTTGACTAAAAAGGGAAAAATGTGCAAAAGAATATTTTAAGCAAACCTTGATGATTATTTGAGACGTTATCTTCCACAACACACCATTTTAACAAACAAACGTAAAGCTGCCATTTTGAAATTTAACCAAGATGGGGGAACCCGGCTTCAAAGAATGATCATTTCTGGTCTCTCAAAACGCCAGATCCATGTGGACACATAGACGAAACCACAAAAAAAAAAAACCCTCTTTGCTGATGCACCTAAAATCCTCTGTGTGGGCGGGGCCTAAGTAGGTTAAGAAAAGATTAGTGAATTATAACAATAAGGCTTTGGAAAAGACTTGAGAGATTGAGATTTAGCTTTTTGCAGAACAATGATCATTAAATACGTGCAGAGCCACAACTGAATAGTTTAGATCAAAGCATATTCGTGGCCTAGCCAAAGTGTGTTTTTATTTTGTTAGTGTTATCATTTGCTTGATAAGGTTGCTGGCTTAGTCTTAGAAATCTGGAAAATGTAAGCCTTTATTTTATGATTAGTTTGTAATTCCAGAAGCAGGATTTGATCAGGCATAAACTTTCACACAACAAAACTAAGATTTTAGAAAACGGTTATTGTGCAAATCTGCAGATACAACACACCATTTCTGAGTTGAGTCTCGTTGTCCCTCTATAGGTGGATGATGACAGCATCGACGATCTGGGTGAAGTCAAGAAGTAAAGACCAAATATGCACTTTCACTGGGATGGATGTGACCTGTAACATCAACAACAACCTGGCCAAATGTACACATTAAGTCATTTTATACCTATTTTATTTACTGTACATAAAAAGGTGCGGACTTGGCCACTCACTTGGCGGCAGTTGCATTTTTATTTTGTTTTTTTTGTTTTTTAGTCAATAGCTGCTTTCTCTTGTTTGCCAAAGGCGTGGTATGAATTAAGTCCTTCACAAATGTTCTTCACTCAAGCAAATCTGTAGGCTAATAAATTTCATTCTCCTCCGTCTGTTCTGCTGTTCCTCTCTTCATTCCAGGTCGGTTTTCCATTTATGTTTTCGACGCGTTAAGTGTTTTCTTTTCCAGGTGGGCTTTGTCGTCATTGCCTCCTTTAAGAGTCCCATAGATGACCTCGGGTTACTTGTTTTTCCTGCGACTTACTGCTCACCCATGAGTAAACCTATTCCCAGGTATAATAGTTTTCTAATGAAGCGCCCATCCCCAGACGGATAACATTTACAGTTGTTATAATGCTCCTTTGGGTCAACACCACTTCCCCACAGATAACGCCGGTGCACAGATGCTCGCTCCACTTTGGAATTAGCATGTTTGTCCAGAGCCCTTTGCATAAGTGCAAACATGATTCGCTGTTCAACTGAAGACACCTGGTGCACCACGTCTTTAATCACTCAGAGCTGCTTGTTGTTCATCACTGGTGGGTCAGAAGATGAATAGTTCCCGTTCAGACGTCTGTTGTGCCTTTGAGTCCCCCATCCTGGACCGGGTTCTGCCTCCAGTTCTGATCCTGGAGTTCATGTTTGGATTAATGGGGAATTTCTTGGCTCTGGGGATGTTCATCTTCTACATGGACACCTGGAAGCCCAACTCCGTGTACCTCACCCATCTAGCGGTCGCGGACTCCATCGTTCTGTTCTGCCTGCCCTTCAGAGCAGACTACTACCGGCGTGGGAAGGACTGGATCTACGGCGACATCCCGTGCCGCATCCTGCTCTTCCTCCTGGCCGCCAACCGTGCGGCGGGGATCTTCTTCCTCACTGCCGTGGCCGTCGACCGGTATTTCAAGATCGTCCACCCGCGGAACCCCATAAACCGCCTGGGCCTGGGCTACGCTTTGTGGGTCTCTCTCGGCCTGTGGGGGTTGATTTTTCTGGCCACCGGGTATCTTCTCGCCAACGAGCACTTCTTCTACAACAGCAACCGCACCCAGTGCGAGAGTTTCAACATCTGCATGGGCTTCACGCCGCTCTCCACCTGGCACAACGCCTTTTACGTCATCCAGTTTTTCCTGCCGACCGCCATCGTGGCGTTCTGCACCATCAGCATCACCTGGCAGCTGCGGAACAGGACTCTGGACAAACAGGGGAAGATCAAGCGCGCCGTTCAGTTCGTCGCGGCCGTGGCTGTCATCTTCATCACCTGCTTTTTCCCCAGCACCGTCTCGCGCATCGCCGTGTGGATCCTGAAGGTGTGGCACGACGAGTGCAGACATTTCGAAGAGGCCAACCTGGCCTTCTACACGTCCGTGTGCTTCACCTACTTCAACAGCGTCCTCAACCCCGTCGTCTACTATTTCTCCAGCCCGGCGTTCAGCGGCTCCTTCAGAAAGGTGCTGAACAAACTGCTGGGCAGGAGCGACGAGGAGCCGGCGGACTCATCCGACAACAAGGTGTCCACCGTGGACCGGGACGGCGTCTAGAGCCGCTCAACGCGGGAAACGGCAAGCAGTGAAAACGTTTTCACTGCTTTTTCAGCAGTGAAAACGTTTTCACTGCTTTTTCAGCAGTGAAACTCCTTTTTTAGGAGTTTAAAGCTGCAATAAAAGGTGAACAAAGTAGCACTTCATATGTAGCAGACTTGTGGTCATTTTTGATTTTCTTCTACGGCGTTAAGCGGAGCGCGCGAGAGCTGCTTTGTCCTGAGGTTCTGAGCCCGCGTGCGGTTTTGAGTGTTGTTTTGTTCTTTGTTTAGTTTTTTTTCCCTTATGGTTTCAGGAACCGTCTCGACTCCCCGCCGTTTCCCCGTGAAGCTGGAACTGCGGGAGTTGAAATAGTCGGTAAGCAAATAGAAATATGAAGCAATTCAGAGCGTTTGACGATAAGATCCAAAGTAAATGCTGATGGTTGTTTGGTGACAGTAATCGACTCCATTCAGCGGGAGTGAAGCTCTAAGCGAGATAACGTCATTGTAACTTTTTTTTCTTTTGCGTGAATCGTGGATAAAGTTGAACACCACTCAAATGTCCTCCTGAACTTCAACATTTTATTCTACTGTCTGAGGCTTTCTAAAAATGAAGTCTCTTCATTTTAATAACATGCTTTACACGATACACATATTTTCTAAATCCAATCTTCAAAATCTCATTGATTTTTATGCATCTACATATATATTAAGTATATATATATATATATATATATATATATATATATATATATATATATAATATTATGTAACGGGTAATAGATAGGCCTACAGATGAAATTCTTGCTAAAATATGTTTTGCAATTACTGAGGATGTTGGTGTCATTATGCTGCAACAAAAAACCTAATCAGAATAAGCATATTCTCATAATAAAAGTAATTATAAAACTTTGCCTTTTTATTAAGTAATACATTGATTTGACTTTTTTTCCAATTTGATGAAAAAAAATCTGCTGAAGGTTGAAGACTTGTGACTTCATCCAACAATAAGCATCATCTCCAACCTCTGCCATTTAACACTCAAACACTGGAGTCACTATGGTTGAAAACAGGACTGCCTTGCTTTTAGGTTGAGTGCTTTATTAGTGTTTATATAATCAGTGAAAAATTTAATGTAAAGCGAACATGAGAAATGAATCGACCGCAACTTAATGACTGGGAGTGTCATTTTCACACAAAAAAAGACATTTGTGCTGAAAGTGATTGTTTTTCTTCCATATTGTAAGTTTAATAAGAAAATATTGAAATTTATTATGGTTGCTGGGTCAGGGTCCATAATGTAATTGTTGACAAGTTATTCTTTTCACATTCTCCCTCATTTCAGTTCCAAAAATAAATGTCATTCATTTTTCCACGGCTTTAAATTTTACTATTTATTTCACTAAGCCTACGTTTCTGAATGGATCCATCATTTTATATGTTGAAGTGTGAATTGTTCCCCTTCCCTGATTGCTATACCTAATACTCGTTTTAAATGTGAGAAGGAAAGAAAGGTTGCTGCTGAAATATGGAAACTCAGAGAAGTAGTGAATCATTGTATTTGTTGTAATTATTTTTCTATTATAGTTTTGTTGAAGAAGAAAGGGCAATATCCCTGGTGGATGAAGGGAATGTAACTATACTAATTGTAACTTTGCCTGCAGGGAATACTTCCAACATAAATAAAATGTTTTAAAAAATAAATGTAAGCAAATTGTGGAATCCTTAATTCAAATTAAAAAAAGTTCTTAAATGAACTTATTTCTATGTTAAAATGCCAGGTTTTTGTGAAGTAAAAAAAAGGGATAATTTGATCCACTGTCAAATCTTTGTTCACATATGTGATATGCAGCTACGTTATATTTTGATTCAAGGAGCTTCAAAAGAGACTATCGGGAGTCAAGAACTGAGTCTGACAGCAAATCTGGAAGATTTGGTCAAGAGAGCTGATAAATTTGGAAAACTATTGCCAAGATGAGATGTGGGGACGCTGACAGACTGCTAGTGTGAGACTGAAAGCTGAAGTACGATCAAAAAATACTCAAAGTTAAATTAAGAGTGTGTTTGCTTATGCAACCTAATTTTACATCTTATTTATTTATTTTTTCCCCTTTTTTTTCCTTGTTTTTTTTTTTTTTTTTTCAGGCAAATTTCACAAGATACACCAGCAAGTATTGATTAATTCAGAGTTATGTTTCGGCTCCTTCCCAATCACTACATGTTGTTCCCAAAGAACATGACTAACTTCAGATGTTTCCAAAACTCGCATTTTATATTAAAAATTCCAAAATTTCAGTAAAACTTGCTGTGATATGAGTTTATATTTAGTACATGATTGTTTGCAAAACACACAAAAGTGGAGTAGACTAAAAAGAATTATAGAAGGGGGTGACAAAAGAGAATTCTTTTTATTTGAACAAATGTATTCCAGAGTGGCAGTTGTTATATTCTGGAAACTAAAAATGTAGCTACATGTTGCCTTCAATCGTCATTTATAAATGACTTGGAAAATGGTCTGAAGCTGAGGTGTCCGAGCTTTTTGTGCGTGTCCTCAAACCCAGCATCATCTCTCAGGGTGACGTCAGACTGTGACAGTCGGGGCTGGGCAGGGAAACGGGAGCCGCTGGAGAAACATGTAACGGTGCAAGGTACGCCGCACCTTCCCTCCACAGCCCTAACAGAGACTCAATTCACAAAAAAACAGACCAAGTAAGTCTGCAGAGCAACTTTCTCCGCCGTTGTCTGCCTGAATTGTTGGAACACCCCGTCACTGGGCGGTTAGTTGTCTCACATTAACTAGTAATCAGCGCTTCATTGGGAGCTAGCGGCTAGCTTTGGCATTCCAGCAGCAGGCTGGAATTCAGGCTTTAGCTAATCATAACAACGCTACAGTTTGCGCCGTGGCTTTAACCGCCGAATGACTTCTTTAAACCGCAGTACGCTGGCAACGTTTCAGTGAGATCGCGGAGAGTTTATTGGAAGTGATGTAGCGCTTTGCCGCAAAGTTATCCCGCTGGAGCTCTTTTTAAAGACAGCCCAACCCAGATGTAACCGACAACAATCCGGGCCAGCCTCGTTATGTGTCCACTGGCTAAATGCTCTCATTTGTGGGTGACAGTGTGAAGATGGAGACAGAAAAGAGCGTGGGCGTGAGAGAGCCCTGGAAGTCTCGTGCTGGTGTTTGACAGCTGCAGGTGTGTTTGTTTTGGTCTGACTGGGAGGGGAGACAGACCCGCCTTGGTGATGTTACATCCGAGGATCGCCCCCTTTTCATTGGACAGTACATTTTAATCCACAAAATGTACTGCATAAATATGGCTAATATTAATGGAAATCTGTGAAAAAGCGATACATCTTCCTGCAACATTTTCTTCCTGCTTCTAGACTGCCCTGTATTAAGCTTCATCGAGACTCCCCCCAAAAAAACTTTGACTAGGCTTTTCTGCTGCTGCTGACGAAAAGCACCCCAACTGCACAATGATGCTGCCACCACCATGTCTCATTATGTCTCATACGTATGTATGTACGCTCAAATTCAGAGATTTGCCACAGAATTGGACAGCTTTTCAAAAGGCAAGTGTAATCCAAACTGTACCTTAAAGATGGGTCAGTTCAAGAACTTTTGGAAGCTGGAAGTTAAGCATTTCAGTCTGCTGGTGCCAACTGAATGGTGTTTCATTTCACTTTCTGATGACAGCTAAAGACAGGTAGAAGACACAAATTCAAAGTGAAATGAAAGTCTGTTACGCAGTAAAGAAGTTCAAGGAAGAAATGCTTATGCCTTGCAGACTTTTCTGTTGTTGCTTGCGGAAGATTTCTGACAAGTTATGGACAAATGTAAATGAAAACAATCATCTGTGACGCATCTCCCCGGGCATTAAAACACAACGACTAAGATTCAGAAGTGTGCCAAGTAAAACATTTTCACACTTGAAAGATAAATTTGCTACAGCGGTGTGCAAACTAAACCCCCATTCATTCTTGATTGTGTTTTTGGCATTTATATCTTGTGAACTCTCCTTATGAAAAAGCGTCAAATGGTTCAAATTTTCCTCGAACTTAAATGTAATCCATGCTGAATTGTGTGAAACAGAGTGTGTTGTTTCAGCCAGCGTGAGTCATCTGTGTGGTAAGGCTTCTGTTCACCACCTACTGTATGCAAGCTGAACACCAAGCATGAGTGCTGTAGGACCTCACGTTTATTTACTGGTTATTGCAAATAGATTTTTTTCAGACAGTATTTATGGGTTGTGCAGCATTTGGCATCAAAACACTGGCATGATTTATCGCTCTGTGAAGAGAGGATTGCGAAAGAGGTCTTATATTATCCGTTATATGTTGTCAATTACTGTTATTCATTATTATTTTGCACACATTTAACATTTTTATTTGTAAAGTTACTAAAAACCATGTATAGCGTTTCCTTCCACTTCACAAATATGGACTTCATTGTTTTTGTTTGTCACAAAAAAATTCCAGGAAAATTTGTTTAGCTTTAAAATGTTAAAGTGACAAAATATAAAAACTTTCAAGAAGTATGAATACTTTAGTAATGTAACTATTTTAAGGCTGACACAATTAATCAAATTAATTAAGACCAATCAAACACGAAATTAGTTGATGATTATTTCAGTGACTGATTCATTGTTGACTGGACTGCATAGACTCTAAAAAAGGCCATTTACTGAAAGAACAACATAGTAATTAAGTCATTACTTAAGTACTGTAATTACTGAATTAATTACTGGTACAAAAAATGTATACGTTTTTGCATTTACAGCCTAGAAGCTTCTTTGTCTGTAAGTATGTTCTAGTCAAGTGGGATAGTTTTAGCTTCATCTGGTACAAATTCTGTGTCAATAAAAATTCTATTACCAGTATGCACATTTATTTATACAATTATTAATCCCAAAATAATCAGTTATGTGATTGCATTGCAGAATTGTAGTTTTCTCATTCAAATATGTATTTGATTTGGTTATTTGCAACATTTAATTTATTTCTAATATTGTGTAAAAAGGCTTAAGTGGTGAAATGGCAGAAAGTGCCATTTTTAATACGATTGATTGTCAAAATATTCAATTACTAAAATAATTGTCTTTTGTATCCTTATAGTATTTCAGCTAAATGGCCAAATTCATGCTAACCTTAATTCATAACATGCACATTACAAACTTACACTTCCAATATGATTAAAGTGATATTATTATTACTTTTGCTATTGCTATTATTATTTTTAGTGGGTTGCATTGAAAGATGTTATGCACTTTTTGGGTTGATTTCCATGTTTGGGTTTGTGTTTTTCCCAGCTTCCTTCAGTCATATTGAGACACAGGGTGACCGGGGTGGTGGGGAAAGGCCGTGTCCCCCCATCCTGATCAAGTCCCCCAACCATGGACAAACAGGGCCCCGTCACTGCCCCAGGCAAATCAAGTGGGCTAAAGCCTCCCACGAAAATAGCCCGTCCATCCGCAGTACCAACTAAGACTTCCCCGTCATCTGGTAAGAGTTTGTCAGAATATCTTTGATGCTGATCAAATAACACTCAAATAATTCTCCAACTATAAAGGCTCAGAAGTAGTTCACAATACCAAGTTTGGAAAACTTTTAGAGATGATCAAATGCCTTTTTGCTGTTACAGTCTTGTTGTACTGTGTTTTTTTTTCTTCCATATTTAATTGGAATAAATTTCACCTGAAAGTGATATTGTAATGCTTGTCGAGTGCCTCCGAGAAGTTTGATACTTCTTGGTCAAATGAATCAAAAAGCCATCAGTTTCACTTCTACATGTAAGCATCGGGCTCTGGGTGAATCTTCGTCAGTGCAGACAAAGCGTTTGCGTGGTGTTGCATGTTATTGAATCACTGCTGCCAAAGTGCAATTAGGTATCAACCAAAAACCCACATTTTAAAGCTACAGTTGTGTTGCAACAAGTTTATTCAAAGTGCTTTCAAAGAGGAAAACATCTGTGTCAATGTTTTTCTTCCAGGTGCTTCAAAGCCAGTTCCTCCTGAAAAGTCCTCGTCAGGTGTGACCTCTCCAACACAAGATGTCCACACAGACTTTAAGGTCGGCGACAGAGTCTGGGTGAACGGCAGCAAGCCCGGCTACGTTCAGTTTGTCGGCGGCACGCAGTTTGCTCCCGGACAGTGGGCGGGCATCGTCCTGGACGAGTCCATCGGAAAGAACGACGGGTCGGTAGCGGGCGTGCGCTACTTCCAGTGTGAGAATGGGCGGGGCATTTTCACACGATCTTCCAAGCTGTCCAGGACGCCGCTGCCAGAGAAGGAGGCCAACGGAAGGCAGGCCAGCCCGGTACAAGCAGCCCACGCAGCAAGCAAGGCTACACCGGCTGTCGCTGCCCCTAGTGGTAACAGACTGAATGTCTTTTGGGTTTTTTTCGCCACATTTTGTCAAGCTACAACTACAACAAGCTTCTTTGAGCATTTTACAGCCTTGGCCTTAATTGGATTTTAAACTTGACTTTGAATAAACTTTGCCATAAATTGTTTCATTTTAGTAATGGCTGTATATTTAGAGTTTCTGGAAATGTAGAGCCAAACGTAACTAATAAGATTCCGTCTCTAGTACTTTCCTTTATCTTGCAGCTGAAAAATATTTCCTCCCCTCCAGCTCCAGTCACCGGTGTAAAGGCCAGTGGTGTCCTGAACCGTACGGTTAATTCCACCGAGTCTGTGTCCAACCTGTCTGACCCCGACTCCCTGAAGAAGGTCAGACAGGAGCTGAGGCTGGGAGACCGTGTTTGGTAAGAAAGATGCTGAACTGAACTGACCGTAAACAGCAGTACGTGGAGCCGTTCCTCTCCACATACTGCTTAAGCTAACCTGTCACAAACACATCTGTTTTTGTATGATTTCATTCTAAAAGTAACTTCGGTTATTACAACTTCTCCGCGCAGGTCGGTGGAACAAAAGCGGGAGTGGTGCGGTTTCTAGGAGAAACAGACTTCGCAAAGGGAGAGTGGTGTGGCGTGGAGCTGGACGAACCTCTGGGCAAGAATGACGGAGCTGTAGCTGGGGCCAGGTGAGGAGGACCGATGCATGGGAACTCTGTCTCTGCTTACGACTAGTGTGTTTGATGAGGCATTCAGTGAGGAGGTCTGCAAAGTCCATTTGATTTTATCAAATGAAAAACATTTCTTTTAGCACATCATATGCTGTAACATAGTTTTCTTGTAAATTAGTACAGTCAGAAAAAATAAATATTGTGCAAATATGTGCATTGATTTTAGTATTTTGATACTATTTTATGCATATAAGTAAATATAGCTTATCGCTTTTATTCTGGCCTGTAATGAATTTTATCCAATGGAACTTCCTTTTTTTGGACTTGTCTTCTCTTTACTGTAATGGAGTGGGGAGATCATTTGCTGCAAAGCTTTCAGTGCCAAAGAACCCTTGAAAACTCTGTGGCTATAATAGCACTTTGCACTAATCTGGTGGTTGGATAACGTAAACGATTAAAAACAGCAAATATCTTGCGTATTCTGTTGCTTAACATGCATTTAATTGCAATAAATTTAAAAACTTCACACTCATCTTTACCAGCCAAAAATCTGCTTCTATCTTCCCATAAACAAAACATAAAAGAAAATCAAGCAACGCACAGCAAGTTCATCCAGCACAGCCAAACTGACGGCTAGGCGCAACCTGTTTTCCTCCCAGGTATTTTCAGTGCTTGCCCAGGTACGGCCTGTTTGCTCCCGTCCACAAGGTGACACGGATCGGCTTCCCCTGCACCACGCCCACCAAGGTGAAGAACTCCCTCAGGAGTTCCACTTTCAAGAGGAGTCCGAGCGCGTCCTCCCTCAGCTCCCTCAGCTCGGCCACCTCCTCCATCAGCGGCAAGCCCAGCCGGGCGGGACTGGTAACATTCACGCGGATATA